TTTTTAAAGGGCTGGGAATATAGCTCAGTGGTAAAGTGATAGTGGGGCATGGTGGCACATGCCTGCAATCCCAGCTACTTCCTGCCTCTAGCTGAAGCAGGAAGACCACAAATTCAAGACCATCTTGGGCACCTTACTGAGATTCTGTCTCAAAATAAAATAAAAAAGGACTGATGGCAGAGCACCCCTGGATTTAATCTCTAATATTGCAGTCTGACAGGTGGCACACAGCTATGATCCCAGTGACTCAGGAAGCTAGTCTCAGAGATTTAGCAAGGTCCTAAGCAAATTAGTGAGACTCTGTCTCAAAAAATAAAAACGTCTGGGAATATGGCTCAGTGGTTAAGTGCCTTTGGGTTAAATCCCCAGTAAAAAAACAAAACAAAGCAAAACAAAATCAGTACTGCAAAAAAAAAAAAAAAAAAAACGTGAAAAAATTAATACATTCAAACACATAAAAATGAAAATTTTTATGTGACAAAAACAAAAACCATAATCAAAGTGAAAAGACAATAATCTGAGAGAATATTTACATCTTATTACAAAGGGCTAATTTTCCCAATATAAAAGGAAATAGCTGGGCATGGTGGTGCACATCTGTAACTTTGGAGGCTGAGGCGGGACAATAGGAAGATTGAGGCCAGCCTCAGAAACTTAGTCCCAAAATAAATAAATAAATAAATAAATAAATAAATAAATAAAAATAATAATAATAATAAAGGTCTGAAGATGTTACTTAATCATAGAGCACTCCTGGGTTCAATCCTCAGTACAGGGAGCCAGGGCAGCTCCAAATAGATTGTTACAAATGTCCAGTTAGAAAACGGGCTAAGTACACAGAAAAGGAAATAAAGATGGCTATTAGACATTAAAAAAAAAAAGCTGGATCTAAAAGCAACCCAGTAGTTTGATGTCCTAAAACAAAAGCTGCTAAAAGTCATGGGGAGACCAACTGAGGAGTACAACTAAGTGACTGGTTTCTGTCCTGAATAGCCCACTTGATCATAGGCTTGCACACAGCCCTTCTCTAGTTGCTTTGAAGGTGCAACAAGGCCTTTGAGAGAAGAAATGGTTAGAAAGACATAAGTACTTTCTCTTTTTTGCAAGTTGGTGGAAACAAATTCATCCAGGGAGTTTTATCTTTTCAAGTATCATATTCACTCTGGGAAACCTTGTTTTTCCCATGTTTTAGAGCATGCTTAGTTTTGTTTAAAACTGGTTAAAATAAGTGTTATTTCCAGGTGAAAAAATGACTTTTTTTGGTTTGATTTGAGGATAAGAAGGGGAACAAAAACTTTGCTCTTTTAATTTGATAATTATGTTTAACCAATGATGAAGTATTTGATTATTACAATAAGTAATTAGCAATAAGTGGTTAAGTGCCTTTGGGTTCAATACCCAGTAAAAAATCAAATTAATTGTAAACATCAGTACAATACTCTTTAGTTATGGTAAAGTTCTCTTAAGATGAATGGCTTATATTTTGGTGCAATGTTTGGTTTTAAAAACAAAATGTTGCAACAATAAACAAACTGAGAAAAAAATGCTCAATCCCACTTATATTTGAGAAATGCATACTGAATCATTTTTTTTCCTTCTATTGCATTGGCTCTATTTCAAAAGTTGAATAACACCTGCATTGGTGAGGTTGTGGAGAAAAGGGGCACTCTTAACACTTAGCTGGTGGGAGTGAAAAGGGGATACAAGATCTGTGGAGGACAATCTGACAAAACTACAAAAGCATCTACCCTTTAAGCCAATGATTCCAGCTATTCTTGAATATCTTATGTGCAGATTATCCATCACAGCACTATGTATAATAGCAAATGAAAAATCAATTGGACAAGATCAGTTATCTTACATTCTTACAGCGAACTACTGTGTGGTTGTAAAAGAAGCTCTTTATGGACAGGAAATGCCTCTCCAAGATATATGATCAAGTTAAAAGAATAAGTGCAGAGCAGTGTGTATGGTATGCATAGGGAAAAGGGGGAAAGAATAGTTGTATGCACTAAGATATTTTAATATGCACAACTACACCCAGAATTAAGTGGCTAGGGGACAAGAAGGGGAAGAGGAAACTTTCTCCATAGATCTTGATATACATTTTGAAGTTTGGATGTGTGAATTTAATATCCATGGGAAAACCAACTTGAAAATTAGACAGTTGGAACATAAATTAGCAAACTGCAATTCATCCCTCAGGTGTATGGAGAGCTAGTGAAAGGGACTTGGAGGGATGGACAAGCTCTCAGAGAGTGTGAATCTGGATCGGCTTGGGAGTCCAGGTGTTAATGCGCTGTTGAAAGGTGTTGAGGACATGCAAGGCGAGGGGTGTCCCAGGAGTAGGAACCAGGTAAGACTGTATTATGATGATCTTGTTATGGGTTAATGAGGCTTGACTAACTTTGCTCCTGTTTTCTTCATGGGGACATGGGGAAGCATGAAGCAGGTGTCCCAAGTGGCAAAAGGTTAATGCTACAGGAGAAGTGTTACCTCAACAGTTAAATTCCCATTGGCATTATGTGCCTGTGCAGCAGATCTGCTCAGGTACTATTTTAAGACCGTTGTAAGCAGGCAGGCTCAGAGAGGTTAAGTCCAAGTTCCTACAGATGTGAGCAGCAAGGGACCGGGGTAGAATCTCGGCCTTTGCCAGCTAACAGGTCCCGCATCACGCATCACGCAGGCATCCCCTTCTCAAAGACCAGAGCTGTGGATTTGGGACCATGCAGCTTTAGGGAAATGTCTGTGCCAAAGCGGGTGTGGGGCAGAGTCCGGAAGGAGGAGACTGGGAGGAGGGTTGGGTCTCCTTGCATCCCCAGCACTGGGTTACCGATCCAGTCTGTCGAACACCAGCACCTCCCGCTCCTACCTCAGCGACCCGCGGGGAAACCTCGCGTCTCAAACTCAGGTACTTGTCTATTCCAGTGTGAGGCCTCCACTCTCCATCCCCTGACCAATTACCCCTCACGGGCGCTCTGTCCCGCCGTACCTGTGACGCCGAGGCCCTGGAAGCCGCAGAAGTGAGCCTTGCTCAGCCCAGGCACAGCCGGCTGTGGGCACAGCGGGTAGACACCCACTCTCAGGTAGGCGGGCAGCCAAGTTGCTGGGCACGCCCAGGGCAGAACTGGGGCAGGAGACTGAGAGGGAACGGTCCAGAGGCCCAGGGCCGCACAGGAAGAGACTGGCGGAGGGGAGGTCACCGGCGCGCGGGCGTCGGGCTTAGCCAGGATGGCTTCTACAGAGAAAGAGGACTCGAGGCGACCGGTGGACTGGGGCGTGCCTGGGCCCGCCGTGCAGCCAGAGAGCGCGGCTGACGCGGGAACCGGAGAGCCGCTGTCACGCAGGGGCTGGACCTGAGCGCCCAGGCCAGTCGGCAGCGGGCGGCCTAGCTGCCCCGGGCTGGGCATGGCTTGACCCTAATCGGGATGGGAGCGGAAGGGTAGCAGGGGCCTCTGGGGCTGTGTGGGAGCGCGAAAGGCGTGTAAGAAGACCCTACACGAGGGGACTTGCCCTGGAACTAGAGCCTCAGCTGCCCGTGAGAGCTCTTAAACTTCGCGGGGCGGGACAGGGCGGGACGGGGCGGGGCCCCAAACCCCCAACCCCCGCGGCACGGGCGGGGTCTTCTAAATCCGTGCGCACTTGCTCCTAAACCTGTCGCACTCAACTCCGGGGGAAGCAAGGTGGGCACGGCTCACTAAGGACTCTGCTCTCTCCCTCCCATCGCATTGGAAAGTGCCCAGCCGCCCGCACAGTTTCGCACGTCTATAATCCCAGAGGCTCGGGAAGCGGAAGCAGGATGATTGCAGGTTCCAGGTCAACCTGGGCAATTTAGCAAGAATCTGAATCAAAATAAAAATAAATAAATAGATCTGGGGATGTGGCTCGGCGGTAGAGGTGCAATCCCCTCTGCCAAAAATAAAAATAATAATAATAAAAACTAAAAGTGCCCACTCCTGTGTTGTTGGGGGAAAGACCTTGAGCTCACTATGATTTTCTGGTCATCATCTTTTTTTTTTTTTTTTTTTGGTACCAGGGTTGAACCCAAGGGCGCTGAGCCACACCCCAAGCCCCCTTTAAAAATATATTTTTATTTAGAGACAGAGTCTTTCCTTAGGGCCTTGCTAAGTTGCTAAGTTGCTGAAGCTGGCTTTGAACTTGCAATTCTCCTGCCTCAGCCTCCCTAGCCGCTGGGGTTTATAGGCAAGCCCCCTTTAAAAAAATATTTTTATTTAGAGACAGTCTTTCCTTAGAGCCTTGCTAAATTGCTAAGTTGCTGAGGCTGGCTTTGAACTTGCAATTCTCCTGCCTCAGCCTCCCTAGCTGCTGGGGTTTATAGGCTAGCACCACCAGGCCCATCTTTCTAGGAATTTTCTGTGCCTGCACACATAGGTCCTCACAGGAAAGAACTTTCCTATGTCCAAAACGATGTCGAATGGGGGGAAAAAACACGGAAAATTTATATACAGAATTCAGAGTATTGTAATGAATTTGAATAAGAAATCTAATTCATTGCCAATACGTAGGAGTTGGCTGCCTTATATGAGTATGACTTGCAGTATATGGGTACAGACATTTGCACCCCCATTTTACAGATAGATAATCAGTACTTTATAACTGTTGTCCTTAGTCAAGTTACAAGTTAGTTTGTATTTCATACCTGTAAAATGGATAATAATGGCTACACTGGGGTTCCAATGAGGATTGAATGAGTGAGTTAGTATATGCAACACTTTTAGTATTGGCCTGGTATGTGGTGAGCTGCAGGATATGATTGTGGGGATCCTAGGGATTCCTGATTCCCAAGCTCCCATTGCATGCTCTCTTGCTAAATTGATACCTACTCAATAATGTTGTTATGGTTTGGATCTGAAATGTCCCTCAAAGGCTCATCTATTGAAGGCCTGGTCCTCAGTGCAGCAGTGTTTAAAAGTTGTGCTTTGGGGAAGTGCTTGGATCATGAGAAAACTGATCTTATCAATGGGTTGATCCATTGATGGGTTCATAATTAAATGGATTATTGAAAGGTTGTGGAAACTGTAGGAGGTGGGGCCTAGTTGGAGAAAATAAGTCACTGGGGGAGTGTATACTTGTCCCTGGCTTGCTGTCCACCCCTTCACCAATGCCATGGAGTGAGCAGGTCTGTTCCATCACACTCTCTTTGGCTATGATTATTTGAGATGCAAACATATCCCTTCTTCTTGGCCAGGTAGGAGTTAGAGGAATCTTCCACCTCTTTCAGCAAATACCAGCTGCCTTCTGATCCACCCTGAAAGCAGCCTGGGAAGTGAGGTTATCCAGGGTGAAATGAGGGTGGGGGGAATGGCAGGACTGGTCCCAGCTCCAAGCTTACTATGTTCCAACCAAGGGGTGCTGGGTCAGAGAGGAGTAAATAGAGCAAGAGAAGTTAATTATGAACTGGGACCTGGGCACAGTACCACATGCCACAGTACCATAAGCCAACAATTCTGGAAGCTTAGGAAAGAGGATTGCATGTTCAAGGCCAGCCTGGGCAATATAACAAGTGCCTAACTTAAAAACCTAAAATTAAAAAAAGAGGCTAGTGATATAGCTCAGTATTAGAGTACCGCTGGATGCCACCTCCATCACTCCCTCTGGGTGGGGGGAGAGAAAGAAAGAAAGGGAGAAGAGAGAGAAAAGAGAGAAGAGAGAAGTTAACTATAGTCTTGGTTCAAATCTGCCTAGTATGTGGTTTAATTTACATTTATTTGAAAACTGTTTGTGGTAAGCATCTTTTCATGTGCTTATCAGCCACTTGGACATTGTCTTTTGTGTGAAGTGCCTATTCCACTTGTTTGCTTATTTTTGTATTGGGTCCCTAACTTTTATTTTTATTTGTTTACTGATAGTTTTTCCGTGGTGCTGAGGAATAAACCGAGGGCGCTCTGCCATCGAGCAACACACTCCTCCCCTTTTTTTTTTTTTTTTTTGAGACAGCCTTTCACTAATTTGCTGAGGCCAGCCTGGAACTTGCAATCCTCTTGCCTGAGCCTCCTGAGTAACTCAAGCAAAATACATCTGTGTCCCAAAAGGCAGTGAAGGTGTCTGAAGTCTGGGGTCACTGCACTCTAGGTCTGCAATCCTGCAGAGTCATCTATGAGTTTGATTGGTTCTGGGGGTTGATGGACTAAAACAGGCATCTTAGAAGCCTGACATATAGCATGTGAAGCACATAAATACTTTACCTTGGCTATACCTGGTCTTGGCCATTAGCAGTCCTTCTGGCATTAAGTTGTAGTTGTTTTGCTTTTGACTTTAATTCCTTGATTTGGGAAAACCAAGACATTTCCTGTTCTCCCCCTTGATACTCAGGATCCATCACTCCAGTCAGTACACTAATCCTTTTTGTTAATTCACTGACAGAAGAAGTCCAAAATAGCCAGGGGTAGTATTAACTTCCAATTCAATGGAACCACCGCTGATTCCCCTGTGGAAACAATTCTTTCTTGGTAACTAAAGCCTCTAAATAAGCAGAGATCCCAGTTTTAGAGGTAGAAAGCATAAGTTTTGCTAGATAAACACACTGTGCTGAATTGATAGAATCTGTGCTCATATCTATCCTCTTCTTCCTGTTCAGTTTGGGATTTCCCTTAGTGCCATATGTTGGTTGCTGGTTTAGAGCACATCCTGCAGCCTGAAGGACATTACCCAAGTTCTGCAAGAAGTTGCCACCCAGCTGGTGCCATAAGCAAGCCATGAGGAACATGGTAAGACCAATGAGTTTCATGAGCCCAAGGCTACTGTTGCCCTTCATCTGCTGTGAAATAAATTCTTTGATCAGAGCATTGTTGAAAATAAGGCATTCTATAAGCTCACAGATGGTAACTTTGGCAGAAGACAAATCTGTGTCATAAGAAAAGGATTTTTCAATGAGAACAAAACACCACTTCTTTCTATGTAACCAGCCAGCCACCAAGTGGATGGTTGACTTTCATATTGGAAGTTCAGTGTTTATCCCAGCTGATGGGAGATTTGGGTACTCAGTAGTAACTGTAACCAGATTGGCCTTGGTAACTGGGTACCCATGCTACTAAGCCCATGCCTGACCTCCATCCCTCCCACCATGGCCACATTTTTCACGAGCCCATTAGAATAATGTAGGGTCCAAGCTTGAGTTGACTACAGCCATCAGGAGTTGAAACCACCATGATTTCCCCCTGAGTAATCTTGGCCTGTTTCCAATCACTACCACCCTGCAGAGTTTCCCAGCATACTATCAGTAAATAAAACTATTAAAATGGTATGTGGCGTTTTATGACAGCTCCTGGCACTGTTAAATATTAATGTGAGATAAATCAGGTGATTCCTCTGAATTCACTTTTTAAAAAAAATATTTTTAGTTGTAGATGAACACAATACCTTTATTTTGTTTATTTAGTTTTTTTTTTTATGTGGTGCTGGGGATCAAATACAGTGCCTTATGCATGCTAGGCAAGCACTCTACCACTGAACCACGACCCCAGCCCCCCTGAATTCACTTTTGTCCTACCCTTATGAAACTCTCTCTGTTTGACCCAAATTGTGGGGATCCACTGGTTTTACTGCCATTCTCTGTCAATAAGTTGCACTCTGGGTAATCCTCAATCTGTCTCTTTTTCAGTCTCATGGTACTTTGTGGTCAGGTCTTTTATACCATGTTTTTCCAGAACAAGTAACCACATCTAGTTTGTCATAGGTGATTGAATACCAGTACGTGGTCCTGCTGACGTGGGATCTTATCATTTAGGTAACCCAGCTTTATGGCAGAAGTTTCTACCATCACTTCTGGCCTGCAGGAAATAGCCACTATAGAGTTCTTCAAGGACATCAGGGCTTTACTCATGAATGTGTTTCTCACAGGCATCGTAAAGGGAGTATTCTCTGGATCTTCCTGAGCACATAGTAAGAGACAATGAACAGTTTCTGTGATAAATCTGCCCTACCTTTCTTAACCATTAGGTGTCTTCTTTTTACAATATACCAAAGAAGTTCTGGCATTTCAACTTTCAGATTTCTTTTTGATTCTTAATTTTTTTGTAGTTGTGTATAGACAACATCCCTTTATTTTATTTGTTTATTTTATGTGGTGCTAAGAATTGAACCCAATGCCTCATACACACACGGCAAGTGCTCTGCCACTGAGCTATAGCCCCAGACCATCAACTTCCCAGATTTCAGTCAACCAACTGGATAAGCAGAGTCACTGAATCTAACACATTGAATCAATAATCTCTGCTTAGTGAGCCCTTAGAAAGAAATTCAGCCTCATATGATATATATTGCTTCTAACCTGATCTCATGTCTTTGGGATCTATGTCCATATATTTCCTTAGGTTCCTATAGATATAAATTGGCAACATCATGTTATTGTTTGGGTGTATATAACACCTTCTTATGGGTCATGTTTCGTATTTCACTCTCTAGAGACTGTTTGGACTTGAATCTATAAGCACTGAGAAGTGATGGAGGTATATCTCAAGGGCTATCACTTGGGAGAAGTCTGGTTTAGGTCCCTTAAGCAAGGGGAATCTATTCAGAGAGAGGTGGAAAAGAAGGCTCAC